CCTACCTCAGAATTCCCTCCACTACTGCTGAGGTTGCCCAAAGCAAGCCACGGCCTAGAGAGATTTTTAGGTGGGTGCAGGGGGTCCAAATTCAGATCCTCACACTTGTGCAAATGGGGCATTACTGACTGAGCCATCTTGAAAGCTCTGTTGTTGCTATTATATATTTTTAATACTTAGATTCTTTCCCAAATGGATGCATGTTTCTTTTATTATGATATCAACACTACATGAAAATAACATTTAAGAAACATTTAAGACTATAATAGAGTATTGTTTAACTACAGATATAATGCTGTGCTACAGAGCTCTAGGTTATTACACATTCCTTCTTTACCCAGTTTTCACTCAATCAACTACTGATAACTACCAACATGCTCTTTCTCTATTGATCTGACCATTATAAATACTTCTATAACAGCAGAATCATGTAATATTTTTCTTACTGTGGTTGGATTATTTTATTTAAGATACTGTTTTCAAATTCCAAACATGTTGCCACATTTACAGACTTTCAGTCATTAAAGGTAAATAATCCTCCATTTTAAGTGACTGTTAAATCTTCTTTATCCAGCCAACAGTCGACATAGAAGTTATTTACGTATCTTCTTCACTGTGTGACAATCTGTCAGTGAATATGAGAATTCAGGTATCTTTAAGCTGTATACCCATAAATGCAGTTACTAAATGATACATTAATTCTACTTTATTTTAGGACTTCTATACAGTTTTCCATATCACCTATACCACTGTACATTCCATCAGCAGTGCATATAGCTTCCCATGGCTTCCAGGTTTTCTGCATACTTGGCCAAACTTGCTGCCTTTTGAAATTTTTATTGAAATAATCCCAATAAGATGACATTTCATTGTGCCTTTGATTTTCATTCTTCTGCAGATCAGTGGTGATGACTGTCTTTTAATATTCTTTTGGCAATTTATGTTTCTTTTGTAGGCATATATCTGTTAAATTTTTGTATTATGGGGGTTGTGGCATAGATTTGTGGGTTTTGTTTTGTTGTAGTATTGATATATAGGAATTCCTTGTATAATGTTGCAATTTGCTTATTGTCTCTTTTGCTGTGCAGAATTATATCAAACTAATGTATTTTTACTTTCAAAATTTTGATTTGGTTCCTTGCATTTTTGATGTCATAGCCAAGGAATCATCAAGAACAATGTCATGAACCTTTCCCTTGCTTTCTCTAGGCATTTTAAAGTCCAGAATTGACATATAAGTCTCTAATCACAACCTATTTTGAGCTGATCTTTCTGTATGATGTAAGATAAGGATCAACATTTACTATTTTGCATGTGGATGTTAACTTTTTCTAATACCATTTGTGAAGGACCAAAATTTTCTTGATTTCCTACGCTTGCTTGGTACTCTATAAATCACCAATTGATTCATGTATATGTACATTCTGCAGTTCTTATTCTCTGTACTAATATGTGGTTACTTTTATGCCAGTAATGAAGTTTTAATTAATTTTCAGTCTTTTTGAGACAGTGTCTCCCTGTAGCCCCAGCTGACTTGGAACTTCCTAGGTAGATGGCCTCAATTTCATAGAGATCTGCCTGTCTCTGCTTTTTGAGTCCTGGGACTAAAGATGTGAGGTACCACCACTCCCAGCTGAAATTTTAATTTTTGTAGCTTTGTAATATACATTTTCAAATCAGGAAGTATGACATCTCCAGTTTTGCTCTCAAGGATGTTGGCTACTCAGGTACTTTTCTGGCTTTATGTTTGCTTTGGATTATTTTGTTTCTATTTCTATGAAATTATCATTGTAATTTTTATAGGGATTACCCTGAGCTATGGATCTCTTCAGATAATATAGGTATTTTGGCAATGTTGACTTATCCAATCCATGAACACTGGATATCCTTCATTATATATATTTTTTTCTTTTTTGATTGTTTGAAATTTCTGATCTATGTATCATTTCCTTGGTAATGTTTCTTCATAGGTATTTTATTATTTTGTTCTGTTGTTAATAGGATATATACTTGGAAGTAGCAACAGTATACATTCTTGCCTTATCCTTAGAGTAAAACCTTCAGTTTTTCACATGTGGGATTTTGAAATATGGCTTTTTATGTTGTAGTAAATTTATCCTATACCTAGTTTGTTCAGGGTTTCAGTGTCAGGAATAATGACGATCTTTTTAAAAAATTCATTGTGGACTTTATTAATGGTACGACCTTAAAAACTCAAAATTCATAAATTCATTTATTCGCTTTTAAAATTTTGATTGAGGACCTGGAGAGATGGCTTAGTAGTTAAGAGCACTGACTACTCTTACAGAGAATCCAGGTTCAATTCCCAGTACCCACATGGCAGCTAATAACCATGTCTAACTCCAGTTCCAGAGGATCTGACGCCCTCTTCTGACCACCATGGGCATTGTATGGCATGAGTCTACTTACATATATGCAGGCAATACACTCATACACCTAAAATGAAAATAATAAACAAAGTATTTAAAATTTTTTTGATGGATAGGAAATAATTGATTCCATTGTTATGTGTACATTGTGATAACTTGATAAAGGTAATACAACTTGTGTTTTTCTCTTTTCTAAAAAACAGATGACTCAAGTTTCAGGTACTAAAGTTCTTAATTTATGACTTTTGTTTGGGCTGTCCTGTGTACACTCAAAAGAATTCCAAGTTTGCTTTCACAATAAATCCCAGACATTTACACAGCTGAGATTTTTATTTGGAAACACAGTATTAAGTGTCTGTTAAGACGAGGAAAAGAAAATAAACCCCTGCTCTGCTCTCCTCCACACATACTGACATTACTATCAACTGTAAATAACAACGTGTGATGGAATGCAATTATAATGCCAGTTGTCCACAATTCTTTCCTCATGCATAATGTTTCTGAGATTTAGAAAGGCACCGATAGACATGCTTCAACCAACTGCTTTAGGAATCTGGGTGTGGAAGTTTTACAGAGACACTTGAATTTTTTAATAAGAACTACATGTACTATAAACTTGCTTTTGATATATAATAAAAATTATAGAGAAAAATGTTCCACATTTGATGTGTTAAGTCTAAAATCTCTTTAATCTAAATGTTAATATGGTTAAGAAATATAGGTGAAAATCCCTTTCCTCCGTTTATCCTGTGCTCAGATGAATGGACTCAAGTAAAATTAATTTATTTCCAAGTATTTCAGGACTTAGGAAATCTTACCTGAGTTCTGTTGCCAAAAATTAGCTATAATACAACGACACTCCATAACTTCAAAATGTATGGAGAGAAGTCTATTTTGAAAACACGTATTTTAACAACTCAATTCTATCTATAATCATACAAAATATGGGTTAATGGATTCTGTTTTGGATGTTATGATGACAGCATGAACAAATTAAAATATTTTTGTGTTGAAATTGTGGGAATTATTCTTTTGTAGTTATGTTATTGTGTTCTCATGGTATTTTTCAATAAAGTAATATTTTTATGAGAAAAAATATTAGTCCACTGCTAATTACATATTTTAGAAAGATACTTTATTATGGATTTATATATTTTTATTTTGAGTGGTGCTGTGCATCCAACCTAGGGATTCAGACCTAAAATGATTCTTACAATAATATGTATAAACATAGCAGTGTAACCAAATGCCCACAAGCATTTCTACTTCAAGTCCCTGTTTTCATATTTTAAGACTAGCTAATTAGTTCATCTCTATAATTTGTTTTGTTCATTTTCTTTTTATTTTTTATACCCTCCATATCTTAGCTAAGCAAGGACCCTAGAAAGCAAGCACAAGAACACAGTAAGGATAGTAAATTTTTTATTATGTACTGTAAGTAAATATCATTTTACTCAAATGTGCGATTCCACAGAAACTCCAAAATGCAGGAAATTAAGCAACATGCAAATGTAGCATGTTATTCTAAGAAGGTCTCTAAAGAAAACAGCCATTAAGATAGTGTCATTTTGTTGCACTTAATGTTATTTTGGTTTTCTTTGGTAGGGGAAGACTGAACAAGGGCTTCATGAAGATTTGTGTATGTGTTCTAGAATTCGGTGACTTTCTCCTAAAAGAGCAAAATTCCCTCCCAAACAGCTTGCTAAAAGTTCTAAAGATTTGCTTGTTATGTGTGAGGTTCTAGGTTCAATCTTCATTACCACCCCCCCCACACACAAATCTGAAGAGAAAACTATGAGTTGGGTCCTCACTAATGCCTTTCTTCTCTGCAGTATTTTAAAGTTGACAACCCATGTTGAAATTCAGAATTTTGTAAAGTTTCCATATCCTACCATCTTAACTTCATTTTCAAATATAAATCTTATGTTTTCATAGATCCTGCACTTAATATCTCTTTCACTGAGACTTTGTAAGTGTTCAGTCTGAATACAGATCAAAATTTTTAGCGTTTTCTGGCACTAAGTACCAATAAAAGCCATTTTATGGCTCTCCAATCATTAAAACCTTAATATCACTGAAGCAAAGAAAAGAACTCTGTATATCCCCTGGGGATAATTCTTCCATTGTGCTGGAGATTAATGGAGCAAGGATAAAGGAACATCTCTGCGTTCTATTTGACCCAGTGATCATTCAGCACCAGGCATCCAGCACAGGAATTAACTTTGACTTTCCAGGGCACTGAAGGCAGTATGTAACCTATATCCTATTCCTAGGCAAAAATAGTGTAGGATATTAGCAAACTTCAATGTAGAAAAATATGAACACCATCTTGATTTTTTTTTTTTTAAATCCTGGCACAGGGGAAGCGGGGACGTTACTTAGCAAGGTTCCAGCTTTCCTCGCTCTCACTCCCCCCACCCCCACCCCCACCTCCTGCCCTTCCTAGCACTGATCCAAGCTCTTGGTCCCTTGGTTCCTTGGTAGATCTCTCCTGCAGAAAGCGCCCCCAGTGCACCGGTCCCCTCTGGGCCCGCCTGCAGCACATCTGCCCTCCTCTGCTGACTCCGCCCCGCCTCTGTCCCGACCCGCCTCGCGTCGGAGCAGACCCACGGCGCGACTGCCAGTCAGTCCCTCCGGACCTGCCAAGAGCCTCGGACTGCCGCGATCACCGCGCCTCACTCGGTCCGTACCCAGTATGCATCTTGGGAATCTGGGCGGTCTCAGGTTCCCCGCGCGTGTGTCTGTGTGTCTGTCTCTGTGTGATGGGCTCTCCGCAGCCTGCCTGCCGCTGCCAGCGCTCCCATGTTGCTGGTGCCCTTTGGCTGGGCTGCGCGCTGCCGGGCGGTGCTGAGCCCGCCGACCCCGGCCGGCCGCGGAGGAATACACACTCGGCCCTTGCCCTGCTTCTCGCGGTGTAAACCCCCAGGAGCTCGAGGCCTGTGCTTCTGCAGAAAGCCACTTGCCAGGCCTCGGTGGGCAAGGCTGGATGTGCGGAGCCAGGCAGCTCCTTGATGATTTCTTAAAATTAACGGGGAAGGGAATATTGCTTTCCTAACATTGGCTTTTGAAGTCGATTTGAAATCTGCACGGGTGAAAAATGTAAATCCTCTTAGGGGAAACAAATTGATTATTGGGTTGCCTTTTTGTCTGATGCGGTTGTTCTGAGCCTGCTGACCAGCTGTTTCTGAACTTCATTTTCTCAGCCTGAGCCTCAACAGTGATTCTGAGTCTGCTTTTAGCTTCCCTTCGCCTGCCTTGGCTTTTTTCTGTTCCTGAACAGCTGTTTGGCCCATAGATTAGAGAAAGCAGCCTATTTTTTTTTTCTTCTCCCAAGAGAGCCTCTTTTAAGTGCTCAGATATGGGGAGTGGGGAGCCCAATCCTGCTGGCAAGAAAAAGAAGTACCTCAAGGCTGCCCTGTACGTGGGTGACTTAGACTCTGATGTCACAGAGGATATGCTCTATAAGAAGTTCAGGCCTGCGGGCCCTCTGCGCTTCACTCGAATCTGCAGGGACCCAGTGACCCGCAGCCCCTTGGGTTATGGCTATGTTAACTTCCGCTTTGCTGCAGATGCTGAGTGGGCCTTGAACACCATGAATTTTGATTTAATTAACGGCAAACCATTTCGCCTCATGTGGTCACAGCCAGATGACCGCTTACGAAAGTCAGGAGTTGGAAATATATTCATCAAAAACTTGGATAAATCCATAGACAATAGGGCCCTGTTTTATTTATTTTCCGCGTTTGGGAATATTCTATCCTGTAAAGTTGTATGCGATGACAATGGCTCGAAGGGTTATGCCTATGTCCACTTCGATAGCCTTGCTGCTGCCAATAGGGCCATCTGGCATATGAATGGAGTTCGGCTCAACAACCGCCAGGTGTATGTTGGCAGATTTAAATTTCCAGAAGAGCGAGCGGCTGAAGTCAGAACCAGAGATAGAGCAACTTTCACTAACGTTTTCGTGAAAAACTTTGGAGATGACATGGATGATGAAAAACTGAAGGAACTTTTCAGTGAATATGGGCCAACTGAGAGTGTTAAGGTAATAAGAGATGCCAGTGGGAAATCTAAAGGCTTTGGATTTGTGAGATACGAGACACATGAGTCTGCCCAAAAAGCAGTCCTAGAGCTGCATGGGAAGTCAATAGATGGGAAAGTCCTATATGTAGGAAGAGCCCAAAAGAAAATTGAACGCCTGGCTGAGTTAAGGCGGAGATTTGAACGGCTGAGGTTAAAAGAAAAAAGTCGGCCTCCAGGGGTGCCTATTTATATTAAGAACCTGGATGAGACCATCGATGATGAAAAACTGAAGGAGGAATTTTCTTCGTTTGGATCAATTAATCGAGCCAAAGTGATGATGGAAGTGGGGCAAGGCAAAGGTTTTGGAGTTGTCTGCTTCTCTTCTTTTGAAGAGGCTACCAAAGCAGTGGATGAGATGAATGGCCGTGTAGTGGGCTCCAAAACACTGCATGTCACTCTGGGCCAAGCCAGGCGCAGGTGGTGAGGAATAGAATGATCAATTTGTTTAGCCTTAGCTGGTGCCTACTTAGATTGGGCTCCTTTGTGATAGGGGATTATTTTCTGCCAATTCACAGGGTTTTCTGGTTTTTTTTTTCTTCTTTTTTTTTTTCTTTTTTTAATAAGTGACTACTTTCTTTTGGAAAAAAGTGTACCTAGGAAACCTTGTTCATTTTACTGAAGAACATAATTTCTAATTGTGAAATTGTCATTTTATACAATTTTTTTGATCTAATATCTTTAGGATTGTGTGGAATAAACTTTATTTCCCTACCTTTTTTTTCCTGAACAGTGAAAATGAGGCAATTGATTATAATTCCTTCTTTATTTCTGTAATTATAATTTAAATTCTTACATGAAAATATTTTTGTCATTGCCCTTACTTCTAAATCTAGCATGGTGAAAAGTTCCCACTTTCTTTTTTAGAAGTCAAGAGAGAAGGGGGGGCATGTGTATGAGCCAATTAAAATCTCTGAATAATTTCACTTTAAATTATTTAAAAGGAATATACTTTTAAATTATCATGAGAATTCTTTCCTTTATTTCTGTTTTTTTTTTCTTTTATAAGTATATCGTGAGCATACTGTAGATTGTTAGTAGTGCTGACTAGATATTGACATTTTTCTTTATTAACTTCATGGTTTGTTTTCTCAATCAGTACTTTTGGAAAATTACTGCTTTGAAGCGGGGCTGTTTAAGTATGATTGTATCTTAAAATCTTTCCTGAGAGATTTGATATTTGAATATATTCTAAGAATCATACCACGCATTTTTCTAAATTTCCTAGCAAATATACATAGAGTATGTTAAATTAATAAGACAGTTTAATAATTGCTCTAAATTACCTTTACCTACAATTTAATGTTTTATCTTCTTTCTTTAACAGGTGTCAATGTAAAGGTAAAATTATTGATGGGCTGCTGTTGGAAAACTAAAGAGCTTGTTTTTCCTAGTAAATCTTTATTATGTCCATGTGAAAACCTTCACAGGCATTCCAAAGTTAAGGAAAACATTGTTGTTTGATTAGTTCATCAACTTCCGCCCATTACGTGGGAATTATTAATTCCAAATACTTCTCTTTGGCTGCTTAAGAACACTGAGACTAAAAATGTTCTGTTTCAGAACACTCAGAAAAAAAAAAAGTAAAGCCATTCTGTTTCAGAACATTAAGAAAAAAATGCTCTGTTTCATACTGCAGTTACTTTATGTACCTTGTAATTTCTAGACTGCAAATTCTCCACATTTCACTTGCAATTTCCTGTTCTCCTCACTTTCTGCTTTCAATCTCTAAAACATTTATGCCTGTTCAAATATGTTTTGGAAATAGAGAATTTCTCAAGTTTTGCAAACTTTGAGTGACTGCTTTGAAATACATGATTTGTTGATAACACAGATCTAATCTTGAGAAAAGGTTTGTGTCTATTTTTAGTTGATCTATTAATTTACAGATGAATCATTTTCACAAATTAACACAATAATCATACAATTTTAAATTGTCTGTTAGCTCTTTGACCATAAAATGAAAATAGGACATTTTTATGTAATTACCTACAAATTCTGTGTAAATGCATTATCAGGTGTTTTCAAAATGAAAGTAACTTTTTTTTTATTGTAAATGTAATACATGTTCATTATAAAAACTGTACACATTACAGAATTAATTTACACAATTCAGAGATAATCACTATTAATATTTTAGTATGTGCATATATTTCCATATGTTTTTTATTGTGTATGTACACTTTTTCCAAGATATATGTACTATTTTGTATTTTTTAAATGCAATCTGAATCATGATCATATTTTTCATGCCTATAAATACTAATCGATATCATGATCTTAGGAACTGCATAGTACTCCAACACATGGATGTAAGTTGCATATGTAGTTTGTTATTGAATAAGATTTTATTATTCAGTATTTCTAAACTTTGCAAGCAATACTGTGATAAACATCCTTTTCTTCAAGCACTGTGGCTTACGAGTTTGACAAAAACATCTATAACATTAAGAACATTGCTAGAAAATTTAAAAATCACATGGTACTTACCTATGTACCAAAGTTTTGGAAACCCTACAATATGAATTTACATGTAAATTATCAGGCAAGACTAAAATCAAAAGAAGAAAATTTTCATGGTTTAGGAACCTATTTTTTATTATTTTGACCATCCAAGTACATAAAATTCAAATAAAATTTAAAATAGTTATAGTGACAATGATTTTTCTTATTTATTCTCCCTTTTAAGCATTACCACTTTTCAATTACAGTATAAATATGAAGCATAAGTTTTAGCCTATCCCTTTGAAAATCACTTAAATTCAATACAAATCTAGAAAGGTTTCTAGAGGGCAAAATTCAGCACATATAGCCATTTCATATATAGTTTTGGAAGCTCACATTTAAAGCGTCGCTAATTTCCAAATGTCAGCATGTATAGTAACCAGGCAGAATTAAAATATGCCTAGGAACGGGTAAGATACACATGCTGAGGACTTGGCTAACATTTTGCAAAACTTAAAATTCAGTAGGTGACAAGCAGGAAGGAAACATAAAAAGTAATCTCTATTTGAACACAAACCTGGGTAATTTTTCAACCATGTGTTTAAGTTGAAACTACATATAATGACCTCCAAGGAGGACTAACACAACCTGACAGTTTAAATCAGTGGCAAAGGGTATATAAATTTCTCAGCATTTACTAGCACAAGGTAATTAGTAAAAACATATTATATTGTTAATGCTTATGTTAATAATAGATGTTTTAATACAAGTTTTGTTTTGCTTAGCTTTTCAAAGCAGACACTTGGACAAACTTTAAATACCCCCACGAAGAAGAAAGTTAAGACCATTCCTTTGTGGTTACAAGCCATCACAGTTAAAGTTATTCTGGGATTGGTCTTCTGTAAAGGAGATTTCATATATACTGCTGTCTATCTAATACCAATGATTAAGTAAAAGATAAAATTGTTATACAAGTAAGTGGTATTTTAGTCCAGTGTGAGATAAAAAAACAATAATAATGATTTATTCAATTAGAAACTCAGAAATGGATTGAGCTCTATCTACTTTGCAAATAAATGGCCTAATCTAATTTAAAAAAATTAGAAATACATTAATAAATGACTGAAGAGAGATGATAGAAGTGTCCTGAGCATCTGTAAAAGCACATAAAATATGTATACCTTCCACAAATTCTTAATTAAATGCATCAATAATGTGATACATCCTTATATTTATTTAATTTCTAGTTCTCTCCTCAGCATTTGATGAGATATCTGAATTATTAAATATTCTTTGAACGCATAAATTGAGCACCAATTGGCTACATAGATTGGTTTGTAGTACTGGAAGCAGAGATTCCTCCTTTTATTGTTAACATTTTATCAAAGGTCTTATTTTTATCATACTATAATTCTATGATTATTTACTATTTGATTGATAGGCATGTCATAACAAAATGCTTGGAGTGAATAGTTTATTTGTAGAGCAATACTTTTTATAAGTTTGTGACTTGCTGTTGCAAGTCTCCACAGTGATTTCTGAGTTATTTGTACTTGCTACTCTGAATTTTTTTTAATTCTAGGAATTCAAGGTATTATTCACTGATCATGAACTGTGTCATAACAAATGGTTTCTTGAACCCTCAGGGGAGTTAATGTATCCCAGTTATCTCCAGGAGATAATGGTCAATATTTTGAAATAATTCATTTGTGATAGCAAATCTGAAAATAGAAAGACCTGGTGCAGATCATGTTCTAATACTTTATAATTCTTATAAAGCAAAAAACTTAACCCCAAGTACTTCACCATCAAAAATCACAATCAGTATATAAATAGCTTTATTTGGGACTAGAGAGATGATTCTGCAGTTAAGACCACTGACTGCTCTTGCAGAGAACCCGGGTTTGGTTCCCAGCCCCTACATGGTGGCTAACAACTATCAGTAACCAGTTCCAGGGGATCTGACACCTTCTTCTGGCCTCCACAGTCATTGCATGACACAGATGCATTTACATTCATACAGGCAATACACTTGTACACATAAAAAATATGAATAAAATAAATTTTAAAAAGTAGCTTTATTTGGCAGGGAAAATGTTCAGTCTTTTCCCTAAATTTCCAATCAAAAGCTTGGGGTCTTCAGAGTTTATTTAAATTTTCTTTCGAATGTATTTAATTCTTCAGGGAGGCTCTAGAAATAAGAATGAGTGCCAATAATATACGGTATGATTTTTCAGTCATTAGATTAAATTTGCTTCTTTGATTTAGAACTGATCATTAAACAAAATAATGTAAATTATATGCTTTTACACTTTTGGGGATTAACTTTAGATTTACAAAAGGAAAAATAATGTTTTTGAAAAATCAAGGTTTTTATACATCAAAATATCTGGGGCTGTTTAAAAATCATTTTAGGGCAAAAATATGTAGAATGGTAAACAACTTTTTTATGTCACCTATCTTGGAGAAATTTGGGCATTCTAAATCCCTAAATATAACAAAGAGAGGAATTTATGTACTTTTCTCTGTTTCATAAAATCACAAATATATAAATTAATAGGTTTATTATATATTATATTTTATTGTTGTCTAAAAGAGTAAATGCTTTATTGTAGTCTTTATGACAGGGCCACTTTAAATACATTGTGGTAAGGATAGTGAAGAATCGATGCAAGTCAATGTAATGTGATTCCTACAAGAAAGACAGGAAAAACCAAGATTGTATTTCTTTGTTCATTACAGCTTCAAAGAAAAAAAAAGGGAAATATGTTAATTAAAATAATTAAGGCATATGAATAGTCATTTAACTGCTGGAAGTGTAAATGAACATTGTGAAGACATTAAACCTTCCTCGTTGGATATCTACTTTAAGGTGAAACACCAAGGACAGCTTCCATTTGGTTTGTGAGGCTATTCCTATCCTTGATGTGACTACTATAGTGATCTTAAACCTCAGGAGTACTTTTTTGTAAGTGAACTTTCTTAAATAATTACTGGTGCTAATCTACTCCTCTCTACTTTCTTATCTTCATTCACCTCACATCAGTCCACCTTTGTCAACATTTAAGATTACG